CAAAACAAAATGCTTTTATTCTTAAATAGAATATGATTCACAGATGTCAACTAAGTAATCATATGATCCATACCAATATACAAATTTTGTTAAATATCATTCTTAACTTCTCACTAAAATATTAACAACAGGGTAACAATTATTAACAACAGGGAAAAAACAATGTCTTCGTTTGTAAGGATCATTATATGAAATATATTTTGGAGGGACTTGGTTTTAATTCTACAAGTAGTTACCCAACTTATACTCATAATTCCATATCTAAGGAAGAAATGTTCAAATCATATGTCAGTTTTGAATATTTTTAGTCTCTCCAACAACCAAATGAACTTGAATTACCATATCTATATTGGATTCCACACTTCATAAAATCAATGACATCATTGACAGCTGTTTTTTCAATAAAAATGGAACTCGTAGATTTAATAAGTTGTCATTGGTCATATGCAAAATTATAATGATAAATATAAATTATAATATGATACTATATGATAACGTGTTGACTTTATCTTTTCAATAGTCATCTTTCAGCAAAATACCTTCATTTCCTGCATACCGAGTTTGAATCTCTCAGTTGATTCGAGAGGCAAGAGCATGCTTTACGTATGTACAATTACTAAGAAGAGTTGAATTATTGACAAACATGTTGATGAAACAAGGATATCAGCAGTCTCGTTTAAAGATTTCATTTCGTAAGTTCTGTTGGTGGTACAATTTTATTATCTTTAGATACAATTTATCATTGAGTCAAATACTGACTGACGTTTTTCATACTTATTGTTAGTTCATTATTTACACACTGAACAGACCTCCAAATTTTCCTTCGATTCCTAATTATGACAAGGAGTACACAGCAGGTGTGACAGGTCGGCGGGGATGTTCACTCCTCCGCGACACCTGATTCCACCTCTGATGTTTCCGGGGTTTGTGTTTATGAAGTCAAAATAAAAGAAACTGGAGCCTGTCACATCTTTGCCATATTTGGATGGTTTACATGCTATAGACGATAAGATTGCTGCTAACAATTAACTTAACTATGTGACAAAGGTTATAACTTCCTGTAGTCGCAATCAACTTTCCTTTTTAATGTTTTATTATTCTGCTTCCACCGACATTTGATGTTCAAGTCTCCAAACTTATTCGATGCTTCAGAGCGTACTCTGAGAACGATCCATTTTAAAATAAAAACAGTTCTCTAACACATAAGTTGATATTTCAAGGATTTCACAACCTTGATTTGATAAAAATTTTGAACATTATACGGTCCTTATAATGGCCTTGTTTACAAATATAGCATATCATTAGCTGGTTCGATTTTTGGCGGAAATGTTGTATAACAAATATTAGGCCTTTTAATATGTTTTGTGTTAAATTAATCAATGTAAGACTCAGTTTGCCTCATCAATGCATACCGCCAGTGTTGTTGGGTTTTTTTTTAAATAAAAATAAATAAATTTAAATAAAAAATATTGTTATACCTGTCTTCAGGAAACGCATTCTGCCTGGGTATCAAATCTTAAAATAAAGCATAAAGTTAGCTGGCTTTTAAAATGTTAAGAAAGGGTGGAGCAGCTTTGTAATAGGAGTAATGGGTATAACCCAATTCTCAGATTCAAAGGATATGTAATTTCATTCCTAAAAGTCAGTGATTTATGACAAATGTCCTCAGGAAATCTTATTGCTGATTATGTCGTTATCCCATTTTCAATCCTTTCTTCTTCGGTTGACGGAAGAAGTTATTAGGGACAGTTTCATTAAATGTGCTATTTAGAAAATCCAATACACTTTACATTAAAAAGAAATGTTCTTTGTGTGTAAACACAATTTAAGAGTAGCATGCATTCATATCTGTGCCCGACTTTAGTTAAAGTACAACGTACACATTCTGAAAGATTCTCTATTGTTGACGTTATCTTACGAGCACCAACCCAAACAGGTACAGGGTGATTCCTGATCGATAACGATCCCTGTCTAGTACCAGGTGACTTCTCGTGAGATCGAAGACGTAGATCTGTGCACTGTACAAGGTGCAGGATATTAAACACCCAGACTTAGTTCTACACAATATTTTTTTTTTCAAATAGAAGTTAACTAAATATATTAAATATGGAAACAAAATCTGATGAGGATTTTCGTAACACGTTAAATACATATTGTGGGGGTCTTTAATAGATGTATTTTTATTTAATTATACTTACAAACGGCTAATGGAGATTGACACCTCCAAAACATTCATTTCTATGCATGCTATGCATGTATTTTTAGAGAGAAAAATACCAAACATCCAATCTGCAAAGCTATTTTCGCCGATTTTTACTGAAGAGTTTTCTGAAAAAAGAAGTGGCATGTGTTCATGTGTTAGAATTACTACGTAAAGGATGGTATATAATGTTAGAATTACTACGTAAAGGATGGCTGTATAATAAGATAAAGGGTGTTCCTGCAATAAGCTGAAGCTAAAATGATGCTAGAATATTACATAACACGGTGGAGCAAAAATAGAGTTCATATGATTTGAACATATTTTATTGTATATACTTTACAACTGGGATTGGGCAAAAGTTCTAAAAACTTATTACGCCCTCTCCCTACATATATACTGAAAGGAAAAAGAAACGCAGGGTAGCATTATGTTCGAAAAAATTTTGACCACATGATCGAAAATAACGAAAATTGGTCAGATGAGAAATTTAGTTACTTTACACCAAAATCAATATTCAAAATTACTCAACCGTAAAATTTATGACGTCACGTAGGGAAAACGCCAAAAAGCACAAAACACGTGCAATATGATAACGAAGAGTTTGTCAACAAATCTTGTTGTATTATTTGATGCATATGAGGTATGCACATCATTTTTCAATATTAAGAGACATTATGAATTTCTTGCAATCTTGGCACAGTTTACGGAAGTTCAATGGGGTCATGTTTTGGAATTGCCCAATTAATGAAAAAGGTAACAACGGTTTACTAAGCAGTTTCTTGTAAATCCCCTCCCCCCCCTTAAAACTTGTTACCCGTTGTCAGAGAGGGTCCGGAATGGTTTTCAATCAACCGTGACGATGGTGTTAATGCGAAACAGAGCCATATTAGGAGCGGGTTATTCGTCCTGCCATCTCTTAATTCGCCACCTTACGACCACAAAAACAGCCATTTATACAGAAGACGATTATAATCATTACATTCATACGAAATTTGAAAGAAAACAATTCCGCAATTTGGTTTTTTGAGCCAGTCAACTTACTGTTGTATTCCTCTCACCGGCGCATGCGCTCGCCGTTTGACTAATTTTTTTTGCGTTTCGCCCATGCCAAATATAGCCAGGGTTTGAAAAATAAACACTCTGATGAAATTCCATGCAAAGGAGAAATAAGGCTCTGACAAATGCACTGGGGAGACATTGAAGATAATGAGAGTTTTCGATTTTCTCTTTTTGGGGGTATCGTCATTTGAGCTTCAGTAACTCATTAATTATTAGACAAAATCAAATGGGAATTTGGTTATATCTTTTTGAAAGATGATTTTAAAAGTTAGATATAAAAACTAAAAAAATAGATTAAGAAAAACAAATTTAATTCACCTCAAAAGTTTACCCTGCGTTTCTTTTTCCTTTCAGTATATATTATACCAAACATATTTACATACATGGGTTTCAGCTTAAAATGAAATAACACAGAAAAAACATAATATATAATAATCAGAGTAAAACACATTTAATAGAATACATTCCATATGTAATAGACATGCTGTATAAGATTCATATATTAGATTAATCTTTACCTGCCCATTGTTAACGATGATTGTGCCTAAATTACAATCCATCTCCAGCTGATAATTGTAGTCACCTATCAGGGTTTTCTGTGTTTTCCTGCGAAAATGAGATTCATGTTTTTAGAAAAAGATTTTGATTAATATGACGTAAAGTTATTATTTCTGTCTCTACATCAAGATTTGATTTATTGTCGACATTATATCTCATTATCGGTGAGATCTCTTTTTCTATTTCTGAGGGATAAAGCTACAAACTTCGACAATTTTGATGTGTTAATGTAAAATAAAGAGAAATGGAACGGCTTAAAATTTTTCGTCATCAACTTATAAATGTTTAATATGTATCAATATTTCCACTTTATAATATTTTTTCTTATTTATGTGTATGTAACAAAGCCCATACAATATACAAGGGTAAAATTTATTTTCGATCGAGTATTAATAGGAGTCAGACTAGTGAGACTACTGACAAATAATCTGATGTTACAGGACTTTTAATAGTCTCGTTTTAAGTCAACATTTGGTCGGTATACTGATCTACACATACAACCTGTTGATGATTTGAATATAGACTATGTTTTTCAATAATTTTATTTCACTTTCAGTGGGTGGCTCTGTAGCTTTATGATCGTCCATCCAATTTTTGTTTGTAGATCGGCGAGCTAGACATCTGTGCCTACATTAAACTGGGCTTAACTTTCCGTCTTACCCTTGGTCAGCGAAACTGTCTTCTTCAGAAGTACAACTAAATTGAATCTTGACCCCTTTTTTTAACCCTCCTATTTTTTCCTTTCTTTTTTTTTTAAACGCAATGCGCTTCGATCTCAGACATGGAGGATTTTCAAAAAATGCTGTCTCTGTTTCCCTCTCTTTTTCGTTATTTTAACTTGCTTACCTCATACATTGTTAGGGGAGAAAATTAATATATATAGCGCCTACACGAAGTATCTGACCTTGTAAAAGCCTTCGGTAAACATGCATTTCTTCAACTTGAGTTTTGTTTTCGTACTTTGTCTACACAAGCATACCCGGGGAAGGGAGTGCTCTAAGAAGAAGGTCATACATATATAAATACACCACTCTTCATTTGCTTTTATCATGTCTGTTTCGCTCCCAGCTCACCACTTGGTACATTAGTGTTTTTATTTTTCAATAACAATGACGAATGTATGTAAACTGATGGTTACTGTATTCATTTCCACTATTTATATGTTATTATTTTTTTTTATGTTTAAAAGTCATGTCAAAGCAGCCTTGGTTTATTTTGAATTTTTGACCTTCTAAAGCATATCCTGTTGTCAAAACATGAAATTCGTGATACCTGTGACGTCATGGGGAAGGTTTGCGCCTTTATTCAAATGAACAGGTAAGGTATTGGGACAGACATTTAAATATGCAAAGGTCGCTGTCTGAAATTTATGAATGAAATTGTCGACTCCGTGGGAGTGGGAATCACGTCGAGTGTGTAAATCTGTGTAAATATAACCATTTAAATATGGTGGTGACCGGAAGCGATCCGTTTTGGTTTACAGTGAGAGGTCACCGCGTACATACAAGGACACACGTGCTTATTGACTATTTTGCATATTACTGCCATCGCTTGACTCTTACAAGAGTTAGTAATCATTGTACTGTTATTTATGGTACTAAATACCGTGAGTAACTAGCATTGTATACTATAAAAGGAAAAAAAAGGCAGAGTTTTTCATTTAAAACTGATATCCATAAACCTCAAATTTACATATATCAACTAAGATTCCTAGAATTTCAGTAACATTGTAAAATACTTTTAAACAAAGTCATTCTTTTATTTAACTAACAATAAGTACTAGTAGTGAGTGTTTAGTATAGTTACCATAAATTGATCAGTTGCTAAGGATATATTTCCTGGTAAATATGTTTGCTTCAAACAAAAAATTGACTGTTTCTTCCTGGAAAAAGATAAAGTTCTGTATTGTGTGCACTGTGCAAATACAATGCACGTGGACGGGTGATCCTCAACAACACGACACAAACACCTGTTACGCAGTTACATGCTTTTCTGGGAATTTTTCCCTCATGAAGAAAACATCTCATATTACACATAAAATTAAACGTGTTGACAATTTTCATACCACACTCATTGATAAAATTTGACATGTATTTTATGGAATCTCGAGCTTGATACATGTAACAATACCCACAGGTCTTTGTATCGCTTACAAAAAAAATAAGCTGTAAAAAAATATATCATTTATGCACCCCATTTTTTCCTTAATTGGATTTAAGTGATCTAAAGGTCGGTGACAATAATTTCATTATATTCTACGAAATCATAGGTACATTTACCATCTGTACATTAGACTGTGAATCTACGACAATAAGGCTTAAGTAACTGAGATTTACTGCTGTTCTGTTAGTATTTGATCTGAAATCTGATCATATAAAACACGTCTATATGCATAAACATTGATTATAGCTCATTGAATTGTTGTTCTAAGGGATAGTGAACCTGGATTTATGGAAAGAAGCGCACAGAAGTACTTAACCGATCAAATCTTGGCGATATTTAGAGGTGCCGGTATGGAATGAAGTACTTAACCGATCAAGTTTAAGGTAGCCAAATGCAACATGACAAAAAATATTTTTCATTGCAAAACAAAAACAAAACTCGTGACGACTTATTGATATGGGTATACAATGTATAAATAAAGATTTTATAAATAATTTAAAAAATAATAATTTAATTATTAGGTCAAGGGCATGAAAAGGGAATAAACATTAATTTTGTACGTGGGTCAAGGATGCCCTTGAATGTTGAATGTAAATGGATTAGATTCCAGTCCTGCAGAATATTATTATTTCGATAAAAAATACAGAAAGAGTGAAATTGTAAAATTAACGCCTTTTCTTCTTTGGTAAAAAAAGCAACAAGGGTCAAAATAGAAACTATTAGAAAAAGGATAGTCTACATTTTTTCAATAAAATTGTCCTAATTGGTCAGTGGTGTTGTATTGATAATTGTTGATGTTTATCTTTGATAAACGCGTCATCTCTTCGTCCCAGTATTTCACACTTGTATAGCGGGCACCTGCATACAGCTGTTAGTGACGTATTTAACTCCTGAGATAATGGTGAAGATCTCCATTCTCAAGGCACTCGTATAATGACAGGTTAATATGCAGAGGAGACAGTTACTGACATACATTTAACAAAACAAGAGTCAGAAAGGTTTACTGAACCGTTTTCTGTTTCTATTTAATACGATTTGCATTAGACAATGATTCATTCTGCATTACATAATGCATTTCATGAATATTGGGGTTTTTTTTTGTTTGGTTGGTTTTTTTGTTTTTTGTTTTTTTTTCCAGAGGAGGCTGCGTAATGAACTGTATCTTTTTTTTCTCAGACTATCAAACTAGAGCGACAACTAATTAATGACAATCAAAGACTGACTTTTAGTTACATAATATTGATTTTAAAAAATCAAGATTACTTAACTGCTGAATCACAAAAAGTGTGGTTCTTAATAATCACATCATCTTGAAAACATTTATAGTTTTATTCAAATTCACTATTAATTTTTACATTTGATTTCTTATTCTCCGAGACAGTTCGTCATGAAAGATTCAGATATATTACCGTAAAGTATCTGTCATTCCTCGTTTAAATATCTTTTGTTCATATAAAAAGTTTTGTCAGACATGAGGGTAGGGCGTCGTTAAAACCTCACCCCCGGGGAACTAATCAGTGATCATCTACCCCAGTCATCATGTCCTCAAGTTCCGAAGAACTCAAGTTAGTAATCACGCCTACGTGATGACTAAAGAAAGAGGGGTAACTCTTCCTATATATAGAATAAGTAACTAGAATTTGTTAAACTGATTTAAAAATAAGCACTAACTATATTACTATTTACGGTTGTAAATTATAATATCAAAAATTAAATCTTTTATTTTAGGCTTTAAATTTCAATAATAAACACTGTTGTATGAAATTTTATTCAAAGAACTGATAAACTATCAAATGAAATTAAATTTATCTGAGCATACTTTTGTTTAAGGAGAAGATAACACATATATAGCACAATATACAAACTCGAATATAGTATATGAGTGAATATGACTACATTTGAATGTTTCTCAAGAATGTACTTTTTAAACTTTTGATTGTAAAATAAAAGAATAGATCCACTTTATTCATTTCATTTTTTTTCATAACTAGGTTAAACACTAAGTAGAAATCCAAACATACATACTTATACATAATGATTCTAGGCACTTAAAATATGTAATGTAAAGTGCACGTGAATTTGATTTTTTTTTTTAGATATCATGTATATACATGTAGAGAAAAAAAATTCCGAAACCAAAAAAAAAACTTAAATTATTAATTTTTTACCTTCCTTCATTTTTAGATGATTTAACCATCATATTTTGAAAATTAATCGGGATAAACGCATTTTTTTGCGAGCTGATACGAAAAAATATAATTCAATTAATTTTTTGTCGCCAAAATATATTAAACCTCGCAACCAAAAAATAAACTATTACATTATTCCGGTGATAGGGGAGGGTGGAATTCATTAGTGCTCTGAGTGGGCGGTACGTACTATTTACTATAATGTTTTATCTTCCTCTTGAGTTCGCCATAGTAAAGTTGTAATGTGTTTGTTGCGATTCCTGACCCATTTTTTGTTGAAATATCGAGGCGACCTTCGCCCTTTGATCGTAAAATGCAATCTCCAGACGATCTTCGCTATGTCAGGGCGTTATGTACTCCCCGGCTCTACACGCCAACATTCGGTAATGTAGATAAGGGGGAAGATCCAGTGTTTTATCTTATTATTGGTCCCAGGAACGAATCAAATGGCTGGGAAGAAATGTTTAAAAATGTCGAGGTATAAAAGAATAAAACGAAATAGATAGAACATTTTATAGTGCGATCGTTGTTGTATACATAGGATGCGCGTGTATCTATGCACGGATTTGTATTTATTGAATTTTTGAGAATTAAAATTTAATAATAAAACTATGACAGTCCATTAGCAGGGTCTACAGTTGATGTAGTTGATTTGTATACAACAAATAGACGTACTGATTCTGAGAGGCCAGTAAATGTCGCCAACTTTTTATATACACGTACATCATCTGTAAATTACATCATTATCTACACTTTGTATATTGTATTCTACATTATTCCAGAAAGAAATTAATTAGTTTCAGTGACACACACAAACCAAAAAAAAAAATCAAAATCCCACGTAGAGCTGTCTGTAAATGAAGTACTTTTATAATATTCATGACCATATTTAAGTACCATGAAAAAAGGATGCAAGGATGATTGAAATAAATAAAAAGATTAAATGCAATCTGTTTATGAAAATCCTACAGAAAAAAAACAGATTTATGGGACAGGCTTATTTCTCAATCAGCTTAATTTTCCGTGTTTACAGTGCAGTGTATTTATACTCGCACTTAGGAACTTTTCTTGGCAATAAAAAAACATAATATCCAAAAGGTTTGTCATAGCCAGGATAAATAATTTCTATTTCTGCAATTTATAAGTTGGTTAACCATCAAAAAGAAGAAAAATTGGCTCAGAAACTGAGAATCAACAACTCACATCGCTCGACTGCACTTAACGGAACCAGACGGCGGGCGGATCTCGAAACAGCGAAGGCACGAGACGCACGTGTTGCTTTCTATACGTGACCGACATTAGTGTATTTTCCACTCAATCCCAAGTCCAAAAGTAATTCACTTTCATCATGAATAAAGAAAAGTTTTAGAAAAGTCATTCTGATCCGGTCCGCCGTCGTAAAACTTTGAGAATTCTCAAAAAAAAATTCTCAACTCAACTCTTGAGAATTACTCAACTGAAAATTTGAGAATAAAAGAGTTTATGTATTTTTATTTTTCTCAACCTTTTTATGACGGTCGCTGAGTCTGAGACCTTCTCAATTTCAGTTCAAACTTTATATAGCCATATCATTCACAATCTTTATCATAAATATATAATATTGTTTCTAAACGGCAGAAATTATTAAAGAGTTCAGTAATGAGCTTAAGCGCGCTTAACTTAAAATTGGTATCTATTTGTTTAACATATGAATAAATCAATTATATGTCATTCAATTTAGAACTAAAATTGGCTAAAAGTGATTGTTATAAATTCCACTTCTGACGTTAGAAGCCGAGCCGGTACCAGTGGAGGTAGGCTACACGCAGACTACGATGGATCCAGTCAGAAGTCGGGGAATAGTAGAGGGCAAAGACAGGTCAAGATAGCATTGTACTCCAGACAGGGGAGGAAGCAAGTGCAAATCATAAACAGCATAAAAATATAGACGGACACAACAGCAAGGCCAGTAGAAAGGGCATGTATCACTGTACTCAGAGGGGGAAGCCAGTGCGAGTCATAACCAGCAAAATAGATGGCCACACAGCCAGGCCAGTACAGAGGGAACGCCGGTTAGGAATATATGATTAGATGGTGCAAAAGGAACGTATTGGTTGTAAATTGTATATGATGTTCAATTAAATGGTGCTAAAGGGACGTATAGGTTACAATTACATGCATAATCAGATGATGTACCATCTGCAGGTTAACATAAGACGTGTTTTTTATTGTTTTATTTCCCTCTGGATTTTTGTTCTCATAAGGAAATAAAAATTTCATATGATACGATATTGCTATAATTTATTTTTTAATTAATTTCGATGTTTGATATCTGTAAGAACTAGTAAGATAAAGAAACGAATGCTGTAACAAAATGCATGGTAACAATAAATTCGAGGGGTTATCAAAATGTTCGTGGACTGAGGCTATAAAATTGTAATATATATCTATTTGAAAATTTTAGAGTTCATTAGCCAAATTATTATAAAATGAAAACAACATTTTTATGCATGAATAACTTCATTGTTTTTTCAATGATACCTCATACACTTTTTGAAACAATGAGTAAGGACTTAAACCCGCCTTGTTTATATGACTTTGCAATGTTATGAACAGTGGCCTTCATTGAATATTATATTCCAGATGGATTAATACATTGGGAGAGATGCGCGCTTGATTGTGCAGGAATATTTTGCTTTTGGGAGTTCAATATCCATAACACATGATTAACGTCATTTTTGACGGGATTGATTTTTCCCACCTTGAGTGCAAATCGACATAAACTGTGTATCTATTTTGATATCAAAAGACAAGTCTGGATGCATTTTATTTTCTGTAGCCAGTTTCAACATATTTTGATATTTTTTCCGGGAATTTGTTTTTATTTTACTCAGACCTTCGATAAAATTTATAGAAAAAAAAAAATGAACAAAAAAAAAAAGAATATAAATTTTAGTTTTTCATTTACACATAAAAGAGCTTACAAAAACATTACTAATTTATCAAAAAATAAAATTCATGATTCGTGGTTTATTCTTTAGATAGAAAAGATGATGCAAACTAGATATTTCAAAATTCATAGATGTACCTTAAGCGGTTTTAATTTTATGGCGCTAGTCCACGAACTTTTTGATAACCCCTCGTATTTATAGAGAGATACTGCATTTTTATGCGGATAACAATGATCCTGACCAAACCATGAGAGAAAAAATAGCAGTCGTGAAAGGATGAAATATATGAAGTTTTTATAACTAGCCTCCTCTTTTTAACAAAAAATTAAAAAAAAAAAAAAAAGAATATATATAAATTCTTTCTTAAAGAGTTGAGTTGTTAATGGCGAACATCTTAAATCTTTACTTTCTGAAATAAATATTAAAATTTAAACATAATAATGAAACAGGACCACACCCCTCCCTTCAGTCACTGAAGAGGGCAAGAAAATATTCTGCACTCTTACATAGTACATAAAGTACAAGCTAGTGTCAAGATATAGTCAATTGTACGTGTATTTTAAATATTTTCCTGTTTGTATTTTTTCCCTTAAGTACACACCATAGTAAGCATTTTTCTCATGTTCAACATTTTATTTCTTCCTTTCCAACACAATATCGGTCGTGTTGGTGTCACTGAGTACTAAGCCACGAGAAAACAAACAGCAAAGATTACACACGTGAGGTCAGAGAGTTTGCGACTGCCCACAGTAACAAACATTGGGAGCTGTTCAAAAGTAAATATAATCGGACAATAGAATTAATACCTGCATAAATCTCAGGTGAATTGCTTACATGTGTCTTCACCGACATGGATACATAGTAAACAACATGCAGTTGTAAATAACAACACATGGCTCTGAATAATGTCAGTCAAACAGATTATCCGTCCTTGCTGAATTCTGATTGGTTGAGACGATCTGCTCAGATGTGTCATAAGGTCAAAGTGAGTCAGAGGTTTGCTATATAAGCCTCGCTCGATTTAAATACAACAGACATAATAATTGTATAGCTAGGGTTGTGTAGTGTACGTGTTACATTGACAATATGAAAATGGTCCTAGGAATGCAGTCCTGTGCATGTAAGGGCATTCCTATTAAACGGAAGGACGAGGGACTAGAAGTGAAGTCAGGGAATTTATTGTTGATCCAATCACATCAGGGTAGATCAGTTAGGGTGCCGGTTCACGTTAGAGTGTACCAGAGCTGCTTTGAACATTACGCAATCGTCAACAGAGACTGCAAATTCACGAACAAAGGCATTTTTGTGAACTTGAAGAATTCCACAGTGATACGGACTGAAACACGGGAGTCTGAATTCCTCATGGTGCCGGATAACGTGGAGGGGACCGGATACACATTTCAGGCGCGAAACGCCACAGAGGCCGAGGACTGGACGGAGGTGTTACGGGCCAGTGTTTCCCAGGGTTCCCCCACATCCGCTCACCCCGCCCCGAGTCTGTCCCCCGTTATCCCCAGAATGCCACTGATGCCCACTCTCGCAGAGGAAGAGGAGAGCTGACCTCGCGTGACCTCTTGGAGTGAACTCGGTCAGTGAGGCGTTTGTTGATTTGACTTCTGCAGATTGTGTTTATCAACATGTTTACAGGCTGCAGTGTGAAGCCGTCATCGGGTGACAGTGAGGTGTCTACAGACATTGACACCCTGACTTGTTTACGTGGATTACATGGCGGGAAGTATTGTAATCCTCTTATCCTGTATAACTGTTGTTGAGGCGCGTAAAATCTCCGTCAGACAGAGGCACGATGCCAGCACGTGCAGGATTCCAGTTTTATCCGGTCCCTTGGGTCTGGATTGTAACAAATTCCAAAGACAAAAGCTAAAGCTGTGATATTGACTCTAATTTAATTTTTTATTGTTACGTAGTGTGATTTTGTGCAATAGTTGTTTTTATGTTAACATGAGTGTGCAATACTTGTTCATTAAAATAAGAAAAATGTTTATTTTGTCTCGTTTTATTACATGTGTATCACATTGTACTGATTAGTTATCACTGACATATATTTTACTAGGTGTATAAGAACACCTACGCTCTTTGGTGACTTCAGTCATACCCGTTAGATGTAATAAAGATCTGTATCGTTTACCCTCGCTGGGAGAATGGACAAGGTTACACTAATTACCGTAATGTTTGGTATTATCCGATGTATGATTAGTCTGGTGTTATTTATCTATATTGATGAACAGCCCACATGGAGTTGGATTCTATTTATGGAATAGTCATTTAATAATGGGTCGATTTATAAATTCCGTCCATTCATTCATACAAAGAATGTTTAAGGAACGTCTAACAATATATAATGAACAAAAGATCGATATTTAACTAAGATTGTCAGTGAATAGAGAATCGAATGTCAACGCAGTACGAAAGTTACTTATATCTGATGCGTACAAGGAGAACCTACCAATGTATACGAGTGTCCTTGAACTAACATACACGAAACAGCAGTGTCAAAACAGGAACTACTTTACATTACGCGGCTGTATGACTAAGATCCTACTCTTCATACGGAGAAAATTGTCCCGCTCTGCAGATAAGGCATTTCTATAATTACTACTGAACTCATCCGAATTTGTAATGTAATGGTCATGGGATTTCGTTCATACTGGTATTTTAAGAATTCTTAAAATGTATGATAGTAAGCCTATTAATAGTTTGAACAATGGACATATAGAAAAAGTTACAGAAAAAGATTTTCTTTCAAAGAAGGGTTTATTCACAGATCCGCTTCTGTTGGACGGAATGGAGCAGCACTATTCTTATAACTCTTATCTTAGAGAAAGTAATGTATTGGTATTTTCCTTTACAAAAATTATAATTTTTCAATTAAAATGAGAGAGATATATGACAATGTCATATATGCATGTGTTGGTATTTTCATCTACAAAAATTTGAATTTTTCAATTAAAATTTGTATATGACAATGTCATATATATATTCTATTTGAAATTTCAAATTTTTATAGAGGACAGTATTAATTGTTCCATCTGTTATTTACTGGGGGCGTGCAAGTTTCATTCCCTGGACTTTATCAATACAATAAATTACCCAAGGTTCAAGTTATATACTGATGTGGATATACTAATAATATAGTAATATGAAACTAATTACATTAACCCTTCTTGACAACTTTAATGCTATGAATACAAAATTACATTAATCCTTCTATTCCTGTTTAGTTCTCCTAAATCCTTGATGGCTACATTTACATCTAATTCTTGAACATGCTTTGTTTTTAACTGCAATTGAAGTAATGGATATATGCCGAATACTGTTCTATATGTAAAATTATCAGACTGTTTGAGGCCCGGCCGAAAACTGTCTGATAATTTTACTTAAAATAGTATGAGGCATATATCTTACTTAAAACATTGCCATTTAATTGTCCAAAAGTTACCTGGAGGAGTCCGATAATAACACAATGGGAGTTTAGGCATGAATTGTTTTTTACCCGTCTAATAAGTAGACAAAAGAAATGAGACAGTAAAAACAGTGAGTGAACTCTTGCTTCATTTCATTCATTCAATGGCAGTCGTTTAGATAAGCAGGACAGGGGTCCGGTGGGGAAGGATTTTCTTGTTTATTTCGGAACATTTCTATTTATTTTGTGCATAAATTGACCTTGATAGAGATTTTTGGGGGGTGAAATTATAACCGTCACCATGGAAAGTAAAAAATGCAGATCTTCATCCTGAAGTTTTAGTTTATATTATGGAAATTCTCAGGTTTTACAAGTGCAGCCATTAGGAAACAATCCTTATAAAATAAATAGATTTGCCATTTATTTCTCAGAAATGGATTTAAATTCGCTTATTCAAAGTGCTGTATCAAAAAACTTAAAAGATTGGAAGTATTAATTTTGAGGATGGTTTAAACTAAATTTTTTCATGGATTTGCTATTTTGTAGCAGCTAAATTTCTTTGCGATTGCTGTCCCTGTTTTTTCCCTTTTTTGGGGGTGGGGGTGGACACATTTAGTTTATTCCACTCTTCTTTTTGTTTTTAAATACCGTCCGATTTTGTTATCATTGCCGTCCGATAATATATTATCAGACTGGTAATTATTATTATCGGACGGTTACAGGTAAATTTTTAGACTGCAAGAACAAAGGCATGACGTCACAGCAATGTTTTAAAACAGAATTAATTATTGATACAGATCCATGTATATAGGTCGCTGAGATGTGATACATTACACTTTATTCATTGGGTGAAACTGTAGTTCTATGGTTGTCCACCCATTTTTATCAGACGAGCGAGCTACAGACCTGTAGCCAGAAAAAGTAACTTTTTCTGTGTCTTCTACGGAGATCTTCTCCACTTCATAGTGAAAGCCAATCCAGATGTGATCTTTGTTTTTGCACTTCGTTAACAAGGCTAGAGTAATTATTACAAGAAAAATGTCAAACTTTTAATCTGCTTCCTCCAGAAACGTCAAGCTTATGAACATTACTCATATATACTTCATATGCTTCATTAAAACTGGGTTTATAGATCAAAGCTGGCCGAGTTTTTACCTCCGTACAACTTCTGTAGCAGACGTCGTAACCTTGACGTGACTCAGAACAGATGAAGATCCCAGTTACGCGCCAAAACAGACCCGCGCCAACGAAATCTTCGTCTGCTTCTCTCAATACATAAGGATCGGTATAAATTCTGAATAATTTGATATGGTTTAAAATTATATTTAAATCTGTATAGCGGCCAAGTCTGTCTGCACAATGCAGCTTTTCAAGATTTTTTAAGTGCGTGGTTGAAATGATAAATACCATGTCTATAAACTGGCATATATTCTGATATATCTTGTTCAAAAATTCTTTTAAAAAATAACTTCATAATTAATGAAATTTAATCTGTGGAATTCGGTTAGAATGAGTTTTTTTTTCAGTTGAGCAGAATACATTCTTCATGTATAATCAAAAGTAAACAGGACCTCGGCAATTGACTGCACGGATCTGTCGTTGTTACTGACAGGAAAGGGACTCTCTCTCCGTGAAGTGTGTTTGTTATCACAGAGGTTCCATTTTACATTACATTTACTGAGAGTATTAAAATCTCCTATCCTGGTTTCCCTGCCGAGAACACGTTGCTTTACTGGGCCCCGTGAACTCTAACACATCAAAACAATGTTGTTGTAAGAGAGAGGTTGTTTTATATGATAAGTTGTTGTCGATATCTGTTTCACCGGTCTTTGGGTACAGATGTATCGGGAACTGTGTCCTGTTCAACTTTTCCTGTTTAGTTTGTCGAATCGTGATTAAACCATCAAAAATGTTTTATCTGCTAAGAGGAAAGATTTACACTTATTTTATAAATGCGTCATCATTTTCACAGCAAAATAACCTGCACCAAAATAAAATTATCAAGAGGAAGACATTCTTCAAGAAGGTTTCATCATACGACTGTCGTTTAAGTATAAGTCACATTATCCAACGATGGGGTATACGATGAGAAACCGATGAAAACCGGGCACCACTAGTGATCGGACGGTGACTTAGTCTTTTTTGCGAAACGGTGGGGTCATCGGGAGGAAATAATTCGTAGTTAAAATTCAGCGATGTCTCCAACGATTCATCATTAACACATCTTTCAGGGATCGACCGATGTATGGCCGAGCATCGTCCAATATCCGTTGAATCTGAGGTCATCGGGGGGTTGAGTGGTGTTCAACAGATAACGATCGATCATCGGTCGATGTTCGACCAAACATTGGCCTGTAGTCGACCGATGTACGAACGATGTTCACCAATGTATGAGCGATGTAATATACATCGGCCGATTATCCTTGAACATTGTTTTATGCTTAGCAATGCATCGCTGAACCTTTATAAGTCCGGCCGGCAACCACGCCATTTTTCTCATAAAACGCATTGGTTGCCCATCGTATGCACATCGCTGGATAATGTGACTGATACTTTAAGGACTACTGGGCCGATGTGGAGCGATGTTGGGGAATCGTTAACACCACGGATTACTACCGATTACCACCGGTCTACGGCTACCGGCCGGGAAATGTGACCTAGGCATTACTGATTTTTATTTGAAAATTAAAATAAGTAAACGACACGACTGTGTTAACCCGGAGATTCTCTATAACTTTATATTGACCACATAAGCAGTACTATAAGTGCCGGCTTCGAGTGTTATATATACATGTATTACATGTATGTTTTGGTCCATCTTTTTGAAAGACAATTTTAAAATCTTAAGATGCAAATCTTAGAAAGTATTCTATAATGCATATGCTACTTACAATATCAAGAGACTGTCTTTTAGTTATTTATGCTAAGGACTCACAGCGCAAACTGGAGCATTCCCTCGCAAAGAGCATATGTATCAATAATTCGACATTGATTCCGAGGCAAATTGTGTCACCCCTGTTTCGCACAAGGACGAACTAACACACACACCATCTCTCTCTCTCTCTCTCTCTCTCGCACACACAAACAAGCGCAACTACCATACCCCCCTCTCTCTCTCTCTCTCTCAAATAACCAATCCACGTTAAAAACAAATTACAGTTTCCTTAACTTATGCTGTTTTGCTAGTTTTCTCGCTTTAACAACCAGTTTATAGCCAAATACAAGGAGGAAAACACGCAAGAATGAAGACAATACTTTTGTTTAACGTGAAACAAGCCGTGAGTCGCGACGGTCCGTCTGTAGGTATGTCACAAATTTACCTGGCATTTTGACCTTAGACAAGTCATCGCATCCAATCACAACACCACGGATTTTCCCCCCATTTCTTTAAAATGTCCCCAATGTATAATGCGTTTTATTAACCCCAATGAATGCTACAAATAAAGTGTCATGTAATGTCATCCGAGATTTTAGAATTAAACTCATTGTCATCATTTTTAAAAAGAAACATAGGTGTCACATAAATTGAATCTGTTCTGGACATATATTAAACGAACTGGCGTCGGCGATAACTATGCA